TTTTTTTTTTTGAATTCGAACCAGGTTTTATATATTCAAGATGTACCTGGCTGATATTTTAAGAAGACTGAAGATTTAATAAGTTTCACCTCAGCGCATCACAAATTCAAGACACTTAGCAAGTATTTGATATTTCGGAACTCTTTTCTGTAAAGTTTTTATCCCACTTCATTGTGTAAACAAGATAGTGCAATCACCTCGTCAGTGCAGTCCAGAATTATTAAAACTGCTGGCACTTTTTCTAGTGGATTTTGCAGGTGGAAGAATGGAAGCGTACTCAGGGTCCAGTACTATTACATCATGCAATAGTCCACAAGTTTGTGCAAAACCCTGAACTTCGCGCAAAACTTCTGGAAACAGGTGACGCATTGCTTGCACATACATACGAACGGGATAATATCTTTGCTACCGGTTGCGACAAGGAGAAGATGTTAGAATGGGCGAAAAATAATAATGGGCAAATAATTAAGGTACTTATCTTTCCTCTTTTTATTACAGGCAATGCTGCAGTGAATACTTCTGTTCAATGTTTAAATTGGTACTTGCATTTACCAAGGTTTTGTGTATTGTCTTGGTATCTTATAATTTAATCTTTCCCTACCACGTATTTGCAAAAGAATATTTGCTAGTAGCTGCGTGTTGTATTCTCTTCCACTCAGCAAGTTAGTCTTCTTCGGTATTTATTGCTTACTTAAATGTGGTCTTTGACTCTTTATTTCTCCCTACTACTCAGTACGTCTTCTCGTCATGTTTATTTGCAATACGTTGTGTAGTACCTTTCAGAACACCGGAAATTTTTCTGTCACTCTTCACAAGAATGGTAAGTATTGAGCGGATGAGCCGTCGCAGAATAAAAGGCTGATCCATACAACTTCAAGTTACCAAAACTAGAAGAAATCATCTTCGCGCTTTTGCAGATTCCGACCAAAATAGATAATGGAACATTGGTGTACATTCCATTAGTAGGCGAAGGCAAAAATGTTCTTGGCTTTATCAACATGAAGGTTTTTTTTTTAATATCTAAAGAAATGAACATTAAAATACTCCAAGTAACCAAATGATTCTCATTTTCTTCTACAACAAAAAGAGTTTGAAACAGTTATTCCTCGTATCTTGAGGTCTCCTCTTTCAATGTATTTTAATTATGATAGGTGATACATGAGAGTAGAAATATAATTTCATGTTTCTTTGTAACTGACTATATATGACAAGCAACTTCGTATCCAACAGCACTTAATAAGTCTAGATGCTTATCACTTTTTATCTAACGACAGTTTCCAGGTTCGTCAGCAGCTTCTGCAGTTTAAAGCAACACAGGCAACACAGCCACCTCTGACGGATCCAATCATGATGGTAGCCATGCAAACACTGAAACTGGATAGTCCAACAAAAGCGGAAAGTATGACAAACTGAGGCATACATCAGAAAGCCAACATGATCTCGAAGTAATCATCGTATGGAAGCCATTCCAGAAAATTACTGAAGCTATTAGGATACTTTCCATCACAATGTTTTGTATTTTGCTGTTCCAAACTTGGTTTTGAAAGGCATATCGGAAACATTGCAGTAATTTTCGAGGAATAGTTTTCATTCATATTTCTGGATTTAAGAATGTTGGCATCCTCGCTTATCATGGCTTCTCGTTTTGCCCTCTTCCTCTTTCTACCCTCTCTCCATCCCTTACATATTCCTGCTGCTTGCATCAAAAGGTTTTGCATGCTGCTTTGATCGACTGGATAGGCAACATGTTCAAGTTTTTCACGATAAAACAATTTTTTTTCTGGCAATTGCTGCAGTGCAGTGCTACTGTTTAGTTTTATCTCTCTTTCTATAAATTAGTAAAAGATTTTCCGGAAAATCTGTTCAGAGCTCTCTTCTCTTTCCTGCTATTCTTGTTATCCGGGATGAATAATCAACATGAAAATCTCTTCGCAGTGAACATGTACAGGTTTTGAGTTCTTCAAATTCTCTCCCATCTTTTCTTATTGGCTTATTATGCAGGAATTACAAGCAAAATATGAAATTCTCTTTCATGAATGACGTCGTTGACCGGAAATCATGGGTATGTACCTTTGATATTTATGCTTTGATTTTTATGTGATTGTTTTCCTATGAAAATATTCCCGGTTAGCAGACTATGCTAACAGCGCCCTCTTCAGGTCTAAATCCGTCTTCGTTTCTATTCAATTTTCAAATTTTATTCATTTGATCCAGAATTTGAGACCTTTTCCATGACAGTTTCTAGGACAGTAAGAAAATACGAGTAAGAAAGAGTCGCTGTTTCCTTAGTCGCCGTTTTATCCTGTTGGAATGTCTTGTTCAGTTTTACATGCTGTAAGAGGGAGTGTATGGTTAAAAGTTCGTGCCGAGTGCTTCTTTTTTGCGTTAAATTTGAAGTTATAAAGTATTTCGTCAAATTGTTACTGACACAAACGCATATATATATATATATATATATATATATATATATATATATATATATATATATAATA